CTTCATCATTGCACCACATTCTCCCTCTTTAATCCACATGCATTCATCATCATTCACCCTAGTTTTAATTCACATGCAAAGAACCATCTATTCCATCAAAAACACCCTTTGCCGTGGCTCCTCTCCCATTTCCAGCTTTTCCCTTCGCATTTCCCTTTCATTTCAGCCACATGTATTCATCATTGCAGCCACATTCTTCCATTCCCACCTCAATCATTCACCCTAGCTTTAATTCACATGCATTCCTTTCATTAATTCAGCCAACACATGCACCCATCACCTAACACAAATCCTTGGCCGTGCCTTTCCATCAATTCCAGCACCTACACACCTTGCCACATGCTTTCCAGCTTTCCACCTTCATCATTAAGCCACATTCACTCCCATTTCTATCCCATTAATCCCTTAGCCGTGCATCACACTTCCATTTTCCATATTTTCCCCCATCTTGGCAGCAACACATCCACTCAATTCCAGCACATCCATTCACTCTTCATGATGGCAGCAACATTTTCTCCCTAGCTGTCATTCCACATGAAACTCTTCATCATTGCAGCCACAATCCCTTTCTCCCATCCATTCTCTCCCTATAAAAACATTCATTCCCATAGACACATTGATTCATTTTTCCACACCTCCATTCATACACAACACAACACAAACACATCCTGAAAATCTTGTGCCGTGCACTTCCACTTCCATTTCCTGCATCTTCTCTTCCATTTCCATCACTTCCCAACCCTCCAAAACACTATCCAACCATTCCTCCATACAAACACCAATCCAAAACACTATCCTTAGACCTTGTGCCGCAACAAAGAGGAGGAGAAGGGCCTAAACGTTCATACAATTCAAGTTTGAGTTGTTGGAATTTTTAGGTGTTTTCTTTTCCTTGATTTCAATGATTAAATTTACGTATCTTTGTTGTGTACGTATGAGGAACTAAACCCCCCACAGCTAGGGGATGATTCGAAACCATGTTTACGCTTGCAATATGAATTGATTACCTTTGGTTGGAATTTCATGAGTTGTGGATTCAATTTGTTTAACTGTTTAATTGATAACCTATTTATGTATGTTTATTGAGAGTGCACGCTTAATTTTCATGCATGAATATGACGCTAGAATATAAGTGAGTTTCACCTAATAGTTATGAACTTATATTCACAAGTAGTGGAGGTTGCTTATAAACAATCGCGTTAAGTAAATTCTTGGCATAAGTTTCATGCAATTCATAGTAACGAATGCCTCGTCAACACTTATAGTTTTCATGATGCTTAATGATTCTTGCTTGTATCTCTATTATGCAATTCATGTAGGGAACTTGTGGGGAATGCTTTGGGTTGTCGTATGCAATCATCCAATTCATTAACTTAAGGAAAACTTGACGGTTAATTTAAGCGGACCTAATTAACCCGGGGTGTTGAGTTTGATAATTCATCGAAAGACCAACCAAAAATCATCTTGTATGCAAGTGTAACATGTGTGGAGAAGAACCTTCTAGCTAGCATTCATCCATATTTTCATCACATTCATATTTACATTTTGCCCTTAATTACAATCTGTTTAATTTCGTCAAAACCTCATCCCCCCCCCCCCATATTTTGTTTAGTCTTAATCTATCTTATTTTGTGTTTTTAAGTCTTTGGAGTCTTGTGGACTTATTTTGAGTTTTCGTTAAGTGAATTAAGTGTTTAAAGATTAGTTTTATTTATTTGAGTCAAGTGTTTAGCACCCCTAGTTAATCCCCGGTTAGAACGATCCCTACTTACATCATTACTACAATTATCACAAATAGGGTTTAATTTATGTGTCACATTCGTTTCGCATCAAGTATAACATAAGATTTTATGGTATCCACTAGTGTAAATATTTTAAATTGAAGATCGAATTCATTCATTGTATTTATATAGGGTCAATGAGTGTAGCTGTAAAAAATCATCAAAATCGGAGTTAAAATAACCGCTAAATCGTAATTTTTCGTTTATAACCGTCGAAAAGTTTTGTTTCATTACTTGATCTTTGAATGTTTGTTTTCTTGCAATTTTTGGCGTATGCGATCTCGAAGCATATATAAACAAGTTTGACGGTTGGATCGTTGAAATTGGTTTCGTAGGATGCGTATCCCATCAAAACGATAGATTCACTAACACTTAAGAGTTTATTTATACTTTTATCAAGTATAACATAAGATTTTGTGGTATCCACTAGTGTAAATATTTTAAATTGAAGATTGAATTCATTCATTGTATTCATTTAGGGTCAAGGAGTGTAGCTGTAAAAACTCATCAAAATCGAAGTTACAATAACCGTTAAATCGTGATTTTTCGTTTATAACCATCGAAAAGTTTTGTCTCATTACTTGATCTCTGAATGTTTGTTTTTTGCAATTTTTGGCGTATGCGATCTCGAAGCATATATAAACAAGTTTGACGGTTGGATCGTTGAAATTAGTTTCGTAGGATGCGTATCACATCAAAACGATAGATTCACTAACACTTAAGAGTTTATTTATACTTTCATCAAGTATAACATTAGATTTTGTGGTATCCACTAGTGTAAATATTTTAAATTGAAGATCATATTCATTCATTGTATTTGTTTAGGGTCAAGGAGTGTAGCTGTAAAAAAACATCAAAATCAGAGTTAAAATAACCGTTAAATCGTGATTTTTCATGTATAACCGTTGAAAAGTTTTGTCTTATTACTTGATCTTTGAATGTTTTTTTTTTTGCAATTTTTGGCGTATGCGATCTTGAAGCATATATAAACAAGTTTGATGGTTGGATCGTTGAAATTAGTTTCGTAGGATGCGTATCCCATCAAAACGATAGATTCACTAACACTTTAGATTTTATTTATACTTTCATCAAGTATAACATAAGATTTTGTGGTATCCACTAGTGTAAATATTTTAATTTGAAGATCGAATTCATTCATTGTATTCATTTAGGGTCAAGGAGTGTAGCTGTAAAAAATCATCAAAATCGGAGTTATAATAATCGTTAAATTGTGATTTTTCGTTTATAACCGTCGAAAAGTTTTGTCTCATTACTTGATCTCTGAATGTTTTTTTTTTTTTTGCAATTTTTGACGTATGCGATCTCAAAGCATATATAAACAAGTTTGACGGTTGGATCGTTGAAATTAGTTTCGTAGGATGCGTATCACATCAAAACGATAGATTCACTAACACTCAAGAGTTTATTTATACTTTCATCAAGTATAACATAAGATTTTGTGGTATCCACTAGTGTAAATATTTTAAATAGAAGATTGAATTCATTCATTGTATTTGTTTAGGGTCAAGGAGTGTAGCTGTAAAAAATCATCAAAATCGGAGTTAAAATAACCGTTAAATCGTGATTTTTCGTTTATAACCGTCGAAAAGTTTTGTCTTATTACTTGATCTCTGAATGTTTGTGTTTTGCAATTTTTGGCGTATGCGATCTTGAAGCATATATAAACAAGTTTGACGGTTAGATCGTTGAAATTAGTTTCTAAGATGCGTATCCCATCAAAACGATAGATTCACTAACACTTAAGAGTTTATTTATACTTTCATCAAGTATAACATAAGATTTTGTGGTATCCACTAGTGTAAATATTTTAATTTGAAGATCGAATTCATTCATTGTATTTATATAAGGTCAAGGAGTGTAGCTGTAAAAAATCATCAAAATCAAAGTTAAAATAACCGTTAAATCGTGATTTTTCATTTATAATCGTCGAAAAGTTTTGTCTCGTTACTTGATCTCTGAATGTTTGTTTTTTGCAATTTTTGGTGTATGCGATCTCGAAACATGTATAAACAAGTTTGATGGTTGGATCATTGAAATTAGTTTCATAGGATGCGTATCCCATCAAAGCGATACATTAACTAACACTTAAGAGTTTATTTATACTTTCATTAAGTATAACATAAGATTTGTGGTATCCATTAGTGTAAATATTTTAAATTGAAGATCGAATTCATTCCTTGTATTCATATAAGGTCAAGGAGTGTAGCTGTAAAAAAATCATCAAAATCGGAGTTAAAATAATTGTTAAATCGTGATTTTTCGTTTATAACCGTTGAAAAGTTTTGTCTCATTACTTCATCTCTGAATGTTTGTTTTTTGCAATTTTTGGAGTATGCGATCTCGAAGCATGTATAAACAAGTTTGACGGTTGGATTGTTGAAATTAGTTTTGTAGGATACGTATCCCGTCAAAACAATAAATTCACTAACACTTACGAGTTTATTCATACTTTCATCATTTTGATGGGATACGCATTGATGTTATACTTAATGAAAGTATAAATAAACTTTAAGCGTTAGTGAATCTTATCGTTTTGATGACTTGGAATAAATATATTAATTATTTATATATTTTAAGTGTTAATTAGACTATGTTTCAATTAGTATGTGATGATATTTAATAATAAAATTACATTTATGTTTTTTATTACGTATTTTATTTGTATTCAAGTAAAAATGTTATAAGAGATAAAACAAAACAAAAAAAAAAAAGCTGGTTATTTTTTTATCTTTTGGGTTAAACATTAGGCGGGAAATGGATGGATATAGGTTGCAAAATTTCCCAAACATGAGGTGGGAAATGGATGAAACTCTTGAAATATTAGGCGGGAAATTAATTATTATAATTTTTTTTTGTTTTTGGTATTTTTAAATTACTTGATATTTTTATTTTTAATGTGTTTTATGATTTTCAATCTCAATCTTTGCTTATAATATACTATATAAATAAATAAATAAATAAAACTTAAATTTTAAAATTTATATAGAATAATAATAGAATAATAATTAATAAACAATATATATGTGACATCCCGTCCCGAAACTATCGAAACGCATAGGTGAAATGACCCTTTTACCCCTAGTTTGTTTTGTTATGTTTTTGGTTACTTGGTGTGGTGTTGGCAGATGCTGGGCCACCCACACACACCCACATTGTCCCTATCCCTCTCTCAGTCTCTTTCCCTGTCTCTCTCTTTCTCCCGAGTCCTCTGTCCTTCTTCTTCTTCCTTCAAACTCGTACGGACACACACACAACTACACTATTTCACCACAGATCGAAGGAACTAAGGGCACAGTTGAGATCGTGAGGTCGTGGGGAGCAAGAGCATACCAATATCAGGTGAGAACTTCGACGTTTTCACGTCGATTTTACAAGGTCCGTTTTAGTCACTGTTCATGCAAGATTAATCTAGTTAGTTTTTGGACTTTTGAAGCTTGTAGTTGTGTTGGTGAGGTTCCAAGGAGCTTGGGAGTGCATCATTGGACGGAATTGGACGTCGGATTAGCCTGGTTCGAGTTTGACCGGTTTTGGTAATTGGTGACAGGTGAGTTCTTGTGAGTTTTAGTCCTTAAAACTTATATGGACGTGTTCTACTAGTTCTAAGGGTTAAAATGGTGCAAGAATCATGGAAAATGGTGGAAAAACGAACGAGAAAATGTAATTTACAGGTTTTCCAGTTTCCGGCGTCGGAGACGGCGCCGGAGATTGAACGGAGAAGGAGACGGAATATTCCGTCAATTCTGACAGAATATTCCTGACGCCGTTAACAGAATCTGTCAGTTTTGATGGAATATTCCTAACGGCGTCAGTTGACGCCGTCAGCGTGCCAGGCACGTGCCTGCGCGTGGCCGGCGCTTGTGGCCGTGCCTTGGCCGGCGCGTGGCGGCGTGTGCGGCGGTGGAAAATTTTTCTAAAAATATGGTTGTGATCCTGAGGTTGTGTAGAGCACGTTGGTATATTCAATTGTCCATTTTGAGCAATGTATGAGAGGTTATTTTGAACGGAAGGTTATGTGCTTTAAAATTAACGTTTTTATAGTATTTTCGCATATAGGTGACACGTATCCCGAGGACGAGCGGGCTCACGCGAGGCAGGTGATAGGAGCATATTTAGGCGACTTACTTAGCTTGTTTTCGTGCATCTATGTTGTTAATTCATAGTTGTTTTAGTAGTTTAAGCCATTTTCGTGTGTTTTTAGGTTCATATGGCTAAGGAAGCAAAAAGATGCATTTTGGAGCATTTTGGAGCAAAATTGGGCTTGGAATGGATAGCATATGATTGGAGCCAAAGTGTTGGACGAATTTGAAGGCCTTGTATTCATTTTGGACATAAAACAAAGGGGCCTAGCCCATTCTCTCTTAAACCAACCCCAAGGCCATGCATTTCCTTCCAATTCCAAAGCCCACAATCACTTCAAAAGCCATGCAAAGAACCATCCATTCCATCAAAAACAATCCATCAATTCACATACAAAACCACCATTAACACACATGCACCCAAACAAAGCCAACCTAGCTAACCCTACATGCATTCTTTATGCAACTCTTCATCATTCCACCATTCATTCTTTATTCCACAAACAAGTCACATGCATTTCCACCTTCCTACTTCATCATTTCACCACATTCTCCCTCTTTAACTCATTTCATTATTCATTCACTTTGCATTCATTCAATTCCACCCCACATGCACCCTTTATTCTTCATCATTGCAACCATGGCACATTTACACCAACAAAACAACTCACATGCCATGGCCTACTCATATTCCCATTTCCTTTCCAACATCTCACATGCATTTCCACCTTCCTACTTCATCATTTCACCACATTTTCCCTTTTATTTCCACATGCAATTCTTCATCATTGCAACCACAAACACCTTAAACAAATAGCCATATACATCTCCACTCCTCCTATAAATACCCTTGCATTCTTTCATTCAAAAATCATCTCATTTCATACACAACACACCACAAACACTTCCATCTTCTCCCTAGCCTTGAGTTTCTCTCCATTTCCCTTCCATTTCTCCTCCATTTCTTCCATTTCCATAAATTCCCCAATCCATTCAACACACCAACAACATCCCTTAGTCCTTGTGCCACAATAAAGAGGAAGATAAGAGGGCCTAAACGTTCATACAATTCACGTTTGAGTTGTTGGAATGTTTACGCGTTTCTTTGATTTCAATGTTTAAATTCAATTCTCTTTGTTTTGTAATATGAGGAATGGAAGAGAAGAGTGCCTAAACGTTCATACAATTCAAGTTTGAGTTGTTGGAATGTTTAGGTGTTTCTTTGATTTCAAAGTTATGAGGAACTAAACCCCCTTTAGCTAGGGGGTGATTCGAAACTATGTTTATGTTTGCAATATGAATTGATTAACTTTCGTTGGAATTTCATAAGTTGTGAATTTAATTTGTTTAACTATTTGATTGATAACCTATTTATGTATGTTTATTGAGAGTCGACGCTTAATTTTCATGCATGAATTTGACGCTAGAATATAAGTAAGTTTCACGTAATAGTTATGAACTTATATTCACAAGTAGTGGAGGTTGCTTATAAACAATCGCGTTAAACAAATTCTTGGCATAAGTTTCATGCAATCATAGTAACGAATGCCTCGTCAACACTTATAGTTTTCATGATGCTTAATGATCTTTGATTGTATCTTTATTATGATGTCATGTAAGGAACTTTTGAAGAATGCTTTGGGTTGTCGTATGATGTCATCCAATTCATTAACTTAAGGAAAACTTGACGGTTAATTTAAGCGGACCTAATTAACCCGGGGTGTTGAGAAATCATAATTTATCGAAAGACCAACTGAGAATCAATCTTGTATGCAAGTGTAACATGTGTGGAGAAGAACCCCTTGGCTATTCCATCATCCATATTTTCATCTCATTCATATTTACGTTTTGCCTTTAATTACAATTCGTCCATTTAATTTAATCTCGTCCAAACACAATCCCCCCTTTACTTTATTGTCAAATTAGTTAGAAATCAATTTAGTTTGTGTTTTTAAAGAATTTTGAGTCTTTTGGTTTGTCTCAATGTTTTAACGTTTAGCTTCACATTCTTTGAGTCTAGTTTAGTGTTTTATATTGTTTTTACGTTTTTGAGTCAAATTCCAAGTGATTAACAATCCCTCCTAATCCCCGGTCCAGAACGATCCCTACTTACACACTTCACTACAATTGTCAAAAAGAGGGTTTAATTTGTGCGCGTATAATTCTCGCATCAAATTTTGGCGCCGTTGCCGGGGATTAGCAACTTTGCTAATCCCTTGGATTGTTTTATTTTCGTTTGTGTGTATATATTTTTAGTTTTATTTTGTTGATTTTAGAAGCACAACATGGCATTTGATAATGCTTATCTTTTGTCACAGCTCATGGAAAGGTCCCAAATGCAAAACGTTGATATAGTTGATCTTCAATCAAGGAATAACGTGTTTTCCAATACTTACAATTCGGATTGGAGTGATCATTCAACTTCTATGTGGTGGGAACCTCAAAATGTTCAACAAGAAAGATATTGGGAGCCACCTCATATTCAATATGCCCAACCAAACTCAAATTCGTCAATAGATTATAATCAAATTCTTAATGAATTAAACTCTTTGGTGCAGGGTTCACAAAATCAAGCTAAGGAGACTCACCAAGAAACATATTGGCAACCATATGAGGATTCATATGCACCACCACAGCCTTCCCCTCAATCTTCACATCCAAATTCAGGTATATCAAATTATTATAATGAAGTTATTCAACAACTGAATTCTGTGGAGCAGGGCAGGGAAGCTCAACCATTTCAACAAGACGCATTTTGGCGACCAATTGAAGATTTCTATCAAGCAAAAAAGTTGGCTGAGTGGAACAGTCAATTTAGGCAGAATGCAGAATGCATGGAACAAATTCAAGAACAAATGGTTGAAGATGAGCCCATGGATGAATTGCTACTGCTCGAAGAGGAGGAGGATGCACAAGGCACGGCAAGGGAAGAACAACCCTTGCCGCAACCTCCCAATATTCCTACACCACCCCATTCAAGTAAGGTTGTTCCAAATTTAATTATTTCTAACTTTGTTCCCCCAAATGCACCCTTCCCTAGCAGGTTCATGCAATCCATGAAAGATGAGGGGAAGAAAAACATCTTGGACACCTTTCCAACAATTGACGAGGAAAAAGTGGTTGAGGAGCATCTTGAATTCATCAAGGAGGAAATTGGAGTGGATCACACAGCCACAACCTTCAAAATGTCCAATCTGAATGAAAACATCCCTTGTGCATTTGTTGAATGTGCTGCGACTTTAGAGCCAATATTGCAGCCCATAGGTAAGCCACCAACTCAAAATCCAAAGTCGTTTTTGACTAATATGTTGTTGATGTCAATGATTAGGGCACCCACTCTTGAAATTCAACCATTGCCGGAACATTTCAAGTATCATCATCCATTCAATGATCAACTCCATGTCGTGGGTTCCATTAAGGCATGATTGTGTTCTTCGTCCGGCTACAAGACGTAAAAGAAAGCGCTACTTGGGAGGCAACCCAATACAGTGAATAAAACAAAGTTTTTTCATTAATTTTCGAGAAATTACAAATGTATCTAACAAATGGAGCTTCACAAAGGTTGTTTTTGTTTTTGTTTGCGTGAAGACCCACCACGAGGCAAAACTCTAGAAGCGGAAGGCATCGAAGTAGGAGGCATCGGAGCAAGAGGCATCGGAGCAAGAGGCATAGGAGCAGAAGACATCGGATATAGAGCATTCCAGGCCCCAATACTTGGCGGAACGCTGGATGACCCAGGAAAAAGGTGCCCCTGGAAGAAAGACGCAAGCCGTTGACGGTCACTTTGCAACCGACCTTGAGATTCTAGCATCTCATCAAGCTTCCTCTTCATGCCTGATGAATAATTATTTGCAAGCACGTGCAAAGTTCTATTCTCGTGCTTAAGTTGTTTTATCTCTTGCTTCAGGTTCTCCACCTCCGCCATCAATGATTCAACCTGACGGGAGCGAGCAAGGAGGCGTTGGCCCATGTTTGACACAGAACCAGCGCACTGAACGCTGAGAGCCAGGGACTCTTGAACGGCCAACTCATCGGACCGTCCTGAAAGCAGCTGACTATCTCTGGGAGTGAGGAGGTTCCGAGCTACTATCGTAGCTGTTGTGGCGTCCTGCATCACGGAATCTTCACCTGTAAGAGGACCGTTAGAAGATAAGAAAGAAGGGCACCATACGTTACCTTGAAGCGGCACGCCCGTATCACTGCGGAGACTCAATTCTAAGCTAAGGTTCGATGGGTTTGCCATTTTTTTTAAAAAAGTGTTCAAAGAGAAGGGGTGGACGGAGTAAATTTTCAAAGGGCCGGAAACGAGTTTCAAGAATGGGAAATCTTCAGAGTGTGTAAGTTGGCGGTGATCGATAGCTCTATAAAAAGCCAAGGCAACGCGTCCACCGATTCAAAAAGCCGGAATTTGAGGTGTAAAGTTCGGCGACGCTCCCTCAGCTTTTCAGAAAACGCGTTCAACACGTGGAGGCCATCATCGCAGCTACACGTCTTTAGCCGACAAGCGCAAAGTTCGGCGACGCTTTCTCTGCTTTTCAGAAAGCGCCTGCTCAGAAATCGAAGAGGCGTCTTCAAAGATCGAAGAGTCGTCACTATTTCAAAAAGCCGGATTTGCGGGATCAAAACGTTTGTCGACAAGGGTAAGAGAACAGTACCACAACTTGCTATCCCTATATTTGTCGACTTTCATCTTTTATGGCAAGGCAAACCTGAAGAAAATGCCCAACTCTTTCTCACCTCTGAGGGCGCACTCCCAGCAAAGCCTTTCGAAACACTCACTTCTTTCTTCTTCCCCAAAGATGATACCAGATGCCTGGAGTACAGATGACCCAGGAGGAAGCAGCACAACAAATACATGTGCTGATTCATTCACCGCTTCTTCAAAAGCAAAGGTATCTCATATCATCAAGGTCAAAAGCAAAAGTATCCCATATCATGCTCTTTCCCTGTCTTTTCCTTTGTCTTTGTTATTAATCGCATAGCAAAGTGAAAGAAGCAATCAGCCGGCACTTGGAGTCTATCTAGACTCTATTCCCTGGTTGCTTACCTAGCTTTGCTGAGCTATCCTCTAACCCTCTTCAATACGAATTGGAGAGATTGAACAAAGAAACAGATAAGAGGAGGAAGCTCAGACCTTAGGGGGAGACCAAAGGAAGCCTGCTGCCCAGTTCAAGAGTAGCACAAAGGAAAATCAACGATGGGAGCAGCGCAGTTCAAGAGTAAGCCTGTGGAATCACAAAGATCCAAGCCTCACTGCAATCACCAAGGAGAAGATGGAAGAAACACTCCATAACCAGATTTGCATCTCTAAACTCTTCTCTTTGTTAGATACATTCTGCCATGTTTAGTATGTTTAATTGCTGTTTATATGTTTGTTTGTGTTTAGTGTGGTTTTTAACATTGAGGACAATGTTTGTTTTAAGTGTGGGGGAGTTACTAAAGTGTTTTGATGCAAATTCGTAGGGTTTTATCCACCATAACTTCAAATGTTGTTTCTTGCTGTTTTTAAGTGTGTTTAGTGTGTTTTGACTTAAAAATTCGAAAATCACATAAAAATTTGAAAAACATGTTTTGAAAAGCCTAAAAAGAGTGTTTTGAGTCGTTTTTGTGTCGTAGGTCACCTTCCAACACAATGATAAGGATTTGGTTTCTAATTGCATGACTGTTGAAAAGAGTTATAAACATGGAGAAAAGTTTGATTTACTCTTGGTATATGCTTGGTTATGGTTATAATGTATGACTTCACATGCAATCATAAAAGAAAAAAAAAATTAGTTATGTAACATGCTTGAAGGAAGGAACTCAAACAAACGCTACAACCCTGAGAGACTTGAGCCTATAACGTTCTTTGGAGAGTATAATCTGTGATTTCTTGTTTTCTAAAGTTGTTGCATGATCTCATTATTCTTTGCTTGGTTACTACTTAGAAGGCGTTTCATCATATAGTTCCAAATGCTAGAACTCATGCCCATTTCATTCAAAGCATGTTATTGATTTACATAACATATTCAAGATGAAGTTGTGTAATTGCCACCATAGCCAAATAACCTCACTTCCCATATTTCGTATATGTTGTAAGTTTTACCCCCGTTGAGCTTTGTTTAGCCTTTATTCTTTGTCAACCCACATTATCCTCACCTAGCCTAGTTTAGGACAATCCACACCTTTGTTCTTAGAAGATAGTGAGCATGACTTAAATGAATTCCTTTTGAGTTACATTATGCAAGAAAATGAGTGTGGGAGAAGGAATGCTTGTTCTTAAGTATGTTTTGAGTTTCAAAAGAAAAGAAAAACAGAAAAGAAAAGAAAGAAAGAAAAAAGAGCTTGAAAGAAATGAAAGAATGAGTGATTGAAGTAAGAGCTCAAAACACCAATTCTGGCCCTAAATTGTCTCCCTTTTTGTTCCAAAGTTGAGTTTTCATTCAAAAGTGAATTCTAAGTTGATTCAATTGCCTTGCTCACTATTTCTTTAAGAACCTTTGTTTTCCATATCCCTTCTTTGTTATCCACACGCCCCAAGCCCCATTACAACCCGTGACTTCAATCTTGAGTGTTATGTGTTTCAATTTGTGGAGTTTGAACTTGGTATGAGCATATGGTGTCACTGGTTCTCGCGTCTAAGTAGTAGCATTCCATTCATGAGATCATAATCTAAAACATGCTTATTAACTCCAAAAATTGCGTTCTTTGTGATACATATATGTGAGTGTTCGTTTTCATGTTTACATCAATCTTCTCACATATGACTAGATTAGGGTGTGTAGTTAGAAAATCTGAGTGAAAATTGAGTGCATATCTTGTAAGGAATTGAGCAAATTCTCTAAGGCATGTTACTACATTCAAAACATGGTTTTAAATGCTTAATTGTGAACTAGTATGTGGTGACTATGATTAAGAATGTACTTAAGGGTAAAGATGGCTAAATTCTGTGGGAATAATAATTTTTAACTTGTCATGTGCATTGGAAATCCCTGAAACGATTGTTGGAAGGTGTAGGTTGTGTTTTACGTGTTTAGTGTCGTTTTGTTTATTTGTTTTTATTCTGTTTTGCTCGAGGACTAGCAAAAGATAAGTGTGGGGGAGTTTGATAGGAGCATATTTAGGCGACTTACTTAGCTTGTTTTCGTGCATCTATGTTGTTAATTCATAGTTGTTTTAGTAGTTTAAGCCATTTTCGTGTGTTTTTAGGTTCATATGGCTAAGGAAGCAAAAAGATGCATTTTGGAGCATTTTGGAGCAAAATTGGGCTTGGAATGGATAGCATATGATTGGAGCCAAAGTGTTGGACGAATTTGAAGGCCTTGTATTCATTTTGGACATAAAACAAAGGGGCCTAGCCCATTCTCTCTTAAACCAACCCCAAGGCCATGCATTTCCTTCCAATTCCAAAGCCCACAATCACTTCAAAAGCCATGCAAAGAACCATCCATTCCATCAAAAACAATCCATCAATTCACATACAAAACCACCATTAACACACATGCACCCAAACAAAGCCAACCTAGCTAACCCTACATGCATTCTTTATGCAACTCTTCATCATTCCACCATTCATTCTTTATTCCACAAACAAGTCACATGCATTTCCACCTTCCTACTTCATCATTTCACCACATTCTCCCTCTTTAACTCATTTCATTATTCATTCACTTTGCATTCATTCAATTCCACCCCACATGCACCCTTTATTCTTCATCATTGCAACCATGGCACATTTACACCAACAAAACAACTCACATGCCATGGCCTACTCATATTCCCATTTCCTTTCCAACATCTCACATGCATTTCCACCTTCCTACTTCATCATTTCACCACATTTTCCCTTTTATTTCCACATGCAATTCTTCATCATTGCAACCACAAACACCTTAAACAAATAGCCATATACATCTCCACTCCTCCTATAAATACCCTTGCATTCTTTCATTCAAAAATCATCTCATTTCATACACAACACACCACAAACACTTCCATCTTCTCCCTAGCCTTGAGTTTCTCTCCATTTCCCTTCCATTTCTCCTCCATTTCTTCCATTTCCATAAATTCCCCAATCCATTCAACACACCAACAACATCCCTTAGTCCTTGTGCCACAATAAAGAGGAAGATAAGAGGGCCTAAACGTTCATACAATTCACGTTTGAGTTGTTGGAATGTTTACGCGTTTCTTTGATTTCAATGTTTAAATTCAATTCTCTTTGTTTTGTAATATGAGGAATGGAAGAGAAGAGTGCCTAAACGTTCATACAATTCAAGTTTGAGTTGTTGGAATGTTTAGGTGTTTCTTTGATTTCAAAGTTATGAGGAACTAAACCCCCTTTAGCTAGGGGGTGATTCGAAACTATGTTTATGTTTGCAATATGAATTGATTAACTTTCGTTGGAATTTCATAAGTTGTGAATTTAATTTGTTTAACTATTTGATTGATAACCTATTTATGTATGTTTATTGAGAGTCGACGCTTAATTTTCATGCATGAATTTGACGCTAGAATATAAGTAAGTTTCACGTAATAGTTATGAACTTATATTCACAAGTAGTGGAGGTTGCTTATAAACAATCGCGTTAAACAAATTCTTGGCATAAGTTTCATGCAATCATAGTAACGAATGCCTCGTCAACACTTATAGTTTTCATGATGCTTAATGATCTTTGATTGTATCTTTATTATGATGTCATGTAAGGAACTTTTGAAGAATGCTTTGGGTTGTCGTATGATGTCATCCAATTCATTAACTTAAGGAAAACTTGACGGTTAATTTAAGCGGACCTAATTAACCCGGGGTGTTGAGAAATCATAATTTATCGAAAGACCAACTGAGAATCAATCTTGTATGCAAGTGTAACATGTGTGGAGAAGAACCCCTTGGCTATTCCATCATCCATATTTTCATCTCATTCATATTTACGTTTTGCCTTTAATTACAATTCGTCCATTTAATTTAATCTCGTCCAAACACAATCCCCCCTTTACTTTATTGTCAAATTAGTTAGAAATCAATTTAGTTTGTGTTTTTAAAGAATTTTGAGTCTTTTGGTTTGTCTCAATGTTTTAACGTTTAGCTTCACATTCTTTGAGTCTAGTTTAGTGTTTTATATTGTTTTTACGTTTTTGAGTCAAATTCCAAGTGATTAACAATCCCTCCTAATCCCCGGTCCAGAACGATCCCTACTTACACACTTCACTACAATTGTCAAAAAGAGGGTTTAATTTGTGCGCGTATAATTCTCGCATCAGCAGGGGGGCTACGACCCTTCCACATACCAGTGAGTGGGCTTTTGGTTTTCCGTATATACCTATATACATTTATATTCCCAGAAATAGTTAAAAAGGGTTATTCGTTTTATGCCATGCACCATATCCTTATTGTTTATGCATTATCATATGCATTAGTAGTGGCATACCTTTACATATTTATATTTGGTGCTGTGGAGGCGCAGGTAAGTGCCAGGTAAGCGTTATTTAACATTTGCATTAAATGGTGATTCGAGATGCTTAGAGAGCTCATAACCTGCACCCCCGGTGTTAGTGCTCCCGCCCAGAGTAGGGCACAGTCCTTCACGTGTTGTTCACCTCCCGCACCACACGCTCATCTTGGATCCAAGTTAGGTGCACAGTCCTGTCGTACAGACCACTATAGGTGGTTCCGACTCGTAGGTGACCCGCGATTATTCGCACAGTCTTCACGTGATCGTAGCACTAGAGCGTTTATATGTATTACACCCAGGCCTGTCGTACAGACCACTATAAGTGGTTCCGACTCGTGGGCAGGTTTAGTGATTGAGTTTGAGATTTGAGCTCTAGATTCAGCCGTACAGGTCACTTAGGGGACTCCGGCTACCAGATTATATGCTATTGACGTGATTGATACCTGAGCACCTACATTTCATTATGAGGCTTTGACATGGCATATTCTTGAGCATGATTGGCATATTTATACATACGTATATATGTTTATTTTCTGGGAAGTATACAGGTTTTTATGGCGAGGGGTTAGAACTTATTTTGCTAAATGATTTTGAAAAGCTTTATTTTTGCCCACTCACGCTTTTGTTTTGCGCCCCTCCAGGTTCTAGTAGCTTAGCGGGTTCGGTGGTTTTCCCAGAGGGCGTCTCGGCATTCCTGACAGACACTCACCAGTGTAGGGTCACCTTCGGGTGTACTACCGTCGTATCTTTTCTTTGGACTGCTGTAGTCTTTATGCTCTGAATTCAGTGTCTTACTTACGCTAGCACTTATATTATCACATTATATATGCTAGTTTTTAAATTATTCGTACTTTTATATTACTTTCTTTAGCTTCCGCACTGTGCACATGGCTACGTCACTTCCACGTGACGGCCAGCATGCCCTGGCCTCGGTTGGGGTGTGTCAATATACATATTCATTATATCTATTGCATTTTATAGTAAGTTTTTTTTAGTAGTTTAAAAAATTAAAATCATCAAAATAGCATTTTTCTTATCGTGTCGAAACAGGTTACCCGCGTGTCACTCTCGTGTAAACCTGTTAAGGACCCGTTATTAACGGGTTATTATCGTGTGACCCGATAATGACCCGATTAGTTATCGTGTTGACCCGAAACCAGTTATTTTCGTGTCGTTTACGTGTCGTGTTAACGGGTTGTGTAATAAATTGTCAGGTCTACCTAGTGTAAGGTGTGTAGTTAGAAAATCTGTGTGAAAATTGAGAGCATTCTAGTGAGGAATTGAGAGAATTCTATAAGGCATGTTACTACATTCAAAACGTTGTTTTAATTGATTAAATGTGAATTAGTAAGTGGTAACTATGGTTAAGTGTTTGCTAAAGTGTAAATGTGTCATGTTCATTGGAAATCCCTGAGGTACATGTTGGAAGGTTTAGAATGTGTTTTGTTTTGTTCCTTTTGTTTTGTTTGTTTTGTTTTGCTCGAGGACTAGCAAAAGCTAAGTGTGGGGGAATTTGATAGGAACATATTTAGGCGACTTAGTTAGCTTGTTTTCGTGCATTTATGTTGTTAGTTCATAGTTGTTTTAGTAGTTTAAGCTATTTTCATGTGTTTTTAGGTTCACATGGATAAGGAAGCAAAAAGGTGCATTTTGGAGCAAAATTGGACATGGAATGGATAGCATATGCTTGGAGCAAAAGGAATGGACGAAATTGAAAATCTAAAGGTGTTAGGATTCCTAATCACAAGAGGATTCCTAATCACATGAGGATTCCTAGTCAAAGAAGGTTTCCTACTTGAAGTAGGAAAGTTAAGCCAAGGTTTCCTATTTTGGTTTAATCTTTCCTAATCCTTTAAGACTCCTTGTTTCAGCAACATTAAAGACTTCTATACATTCTAGGACATAAACCAAACTCTCCTTACAACATAACAAGCCTTGCCATGCACCTCATTGACTTTCCCTTCCTTGCCGTGCAGGGGAGGTCCTTGTTTCCTACTCTAAGTCATTAAAACACATTCCCTTTCCATCTCAATCTCAACCACACCTCACATACCTTTTCTATTCCAAAATCCTTGCCTAATTTCAGAATTAAATCACATTCCCCTTCTCACAATTGAATGTCGCAATTACCTTTCCTTTTCCCCTTTAATTTCTGACTTTAAGACTCCTTTTCCTGATGGATTTGGGGTCCAAATCCTTTCCTAAACTATGTAATAAACTCTAGGGATTCTTTCTCCCAAATAAATACCAAGGCCGCACCTTTCATTCAACCCTAATCACTCTCATACACAATCTGCCATCATTCACAGAAACAAGCCTTTGCCGCAACCTTCCAACCACTCTTCCAACCATTCTTCCACCATTCATACACATTTATACCTTCATCTAAGCATCCATACACCATTCCCAACCTTTGCCACACCACCCCACCCTTCTAAATCCATTAAAAAAACCAGAAAATCATCCACAAATCACCCTAGACTCTTGTGCTGTGACCTTGCAAGGAAGAAGAGAAGAAAGAAGAAGCCTTGGACGTTTGTGCATTCAAGTTGGAGTGTTGGAACGTTTCTAGGTGTAATCTATCTTTTGGTTTCAATGTTTAATTCTATCTTCCTTTGTTTTGTTGTGAACATGAGAGGCTAAACTCGTTTTAGCTAGGGGATGCTTTGAAACCATGATTATGTTTATGATATGAATTGATTAAGTCCAGTTCTGATTTCATAAATTGCGAATGCAATTTACTTAACCGTTTGATGGATAACTTATTCTTGTATGTTGATTAGGGAGGCCTACTTAATTTGCATGCTTGAATTTAGTGCTAGAATATAAGGGAGTTTCACATAATCGTCACAAACTTATATTCACAAGTAGTTAAGGTTGTTTTCACAATCATGTTAAGTAAATTCCTAGCATGAGTATCATGATGTCATGGTTACAAGTGCTTTGTCAATACTTATGATTTTCATTGAACGTAATGATCTTTGATTGTATCTCTATTATGATGTCATGTAGGGAACTTTTGAAGAATGCTTTGGGTTGTCGTATAATGTCATCCAATCCAATAACTTAAGGAAATCTGAGGGTTAATTGGTGATGTCACGATTAATCTGGGGTGTTAAGGTTCATGGTTTATCGAAAAAGCAATTGGAAATCAATTTATGTTTGAATGTATCATGTGTGGAAAAGTATCCCTTAGCTATCTAATCATCAATTGGTTTTTCCCAAATTCGTCAAAATCTGTTCTAAGTCCTCTATTTACTTGTTTTTCTTGTAAATTCGTCCAAAATCAAATCCCCTTTATTTGCTTGTTTCAAATCTGTCCAAAAGTGTGTTTTTGAGTCTTTTGAGTCAAAACCAATTGTATTTTCGTCCAAGTTAAGTCCTAGAGTCTAAATTGAGTCTTTTTGATTGTTTTGAGTTGTTTTGAGTCTTTTAAGTTTGTTTTGAGTCATACAAGTTTAGTTAAGAGTCTTTGAGTCAATTTTCATTAGATTAGCAATCCCTCCCAATCCCCGGCCTAGAACGATTCCTACTTATATCTATACTACAATTGTCAAAAAGAGGGTTTAATTTGAGTGCTATATTTTACCTGAAAAATCTGAAGCACCTAGTTCTTGGACTTCCGTTCATAGAACATATGCATCCTCAAATGTTGACTCCATCAATATGTTGTAGTAAAACAAGAATATGGTTTTGCACAAATAATAGATTGGAAAACCGCTTGTAGATTTGGAAACTAGACTGGAAGGGCTTTCCAATGATATATGGCTTGATGATCAAATGATTTTTAATGAACTCAAAACCTAGCCCGCAACACAAATAATTTGCTGGTGTCGCGCAACACCAACGTTCTGTGGTGCTTTGCCAATATTTGTTCACACAAAACTCTGTTTAATGCATAGTATGTTGCATTGGAATTTAGACTCCTTGACCTTCTAATGATGTATAATTCTCAAAATAAAAGTAAAGGAAATTGAACCAAATTTGACGATCAACAGAGATGATGTGCCAGGCCGAAAAACCTCGCAAGCTCTAATAACCAACTGATGCAGTGAAGAGAGGCCTGAAAGCCTTATAAACTTTGGTTCAAGTACCAGCCTATAACGTAGACACTAGAAAGAACAAAGCAGTTGACTCTTAAATAAGAGAAAGACACAAATATGAGATAGAAATTGATAGGAGCATATTTAGGCGACTTACTTAGCTTGTTTTCGTGCATCTATGTTGTTAATTCATAGTTGTTTTAGTAGTTTAAGCCATTTTCGTGTGTTTTTAGGTTCATATGGCTAAGGAAGCAAAAAGATGCATTTTGGAGCATTTTGGAGCAAAATTGGGCTTGGAATGGATAGCATATGATTGGAGCCAAAGTGTTGGACGAATTTGAAGGCCTTGTATTCATTTTGGACATAAAACAAAGGGCCTAGCCCATTCTCTCTTAAACCAACCCCAAGGCCAATCATTTCCTTCCAATTCCAAAGCCCACAATCACTTCAAAAGCCATGCAAAGAACCATCCATTCCATCAAAAACAATCCATCAATTCACATGCAAAACCACCATTAACACACATGCACCCAAACAAAGCCAACCTAGCTAACCCTACATGCATTCTTTATGCAACTCTTCATCATTCCACCATTCATTCTTTATTCCACAAACAAGTCACATGCATTTCCACCTTCCTACTTCATCATTTCACCACATTCTCCCTCTTTAACTCATTTCATTATTCATTCACTTTGCATTCATTCAATTCCACCCCACATGCACCCTTTATTCTTCATCATTGCAACCATGGCACATTTACACCAACAAAACAACTCCCATGCCATGGC